CCTTTATTAAGAGAAAAACTACAGCAAACCTTTTTTCTTTTGTCTTTGATTTGCCCCATGGGCCCCGTCTGCAAGAAGATCTATGCTTCTGCATCAGCTAGGCTTTGAAGGCGTCTAATGAGCAAATCAGAGAAGAGATGGGATAATAACACTAGCTACCATTTACTGAAGGCTTTCTGTATGTTATTCTAAATGCTCAACTCGCATCGTCTCATTTAATTCTCAAAGTGGTTCATTAAGTGGGTACTATTTTGTCCCCATTTTATAGAAGAAAAAACTGAGGCACCAAGGGGTTAATTTGCTCAGGATAACAGTTAGATGGGATGTTTAAAACTGTAAACTATAGATGGCCTCTCTGCTAAAACCTAAATTTGAGGGAAGGAAATTAGCAATTAGTTCAGGGTTCTTTAAAGTAGTGACGAGAGGCAACCACATGTGTTTTAGAAGCAGTGAACAATGCACTTAGGACTTGACCTAAAACCCCCCAACCAAATGCCTTTGTCACCCCCTGAAGGAGAAATGGTGTCCTCTCTTTTCCATCTGAAACTCTGTTCGGTATCTCCAGGTGATGTTTGGCCTAGAAGCCACTCCATTTTCCTTTCCTCATAATTTAATCAAAGACATTTTTCAGACCTACTGATTGCTCTTGAAAACAGGAACTTCAAAGTTGGGGAGTCGGTGAATAATTTAAGCTCCTACCAGCTCTCTGGGTCTGCCGTTAATGGGGGTAATAACACTATTAATAGCCATGTCAGTGCACACACTCTGGAAAAGTCCATAACATTAGCTTAATGGCTGAAGGTAATGGAGTCCTCGCAGAGGAGCTGGCCTGGCAAATTAACTTCTAAGACTTCTAGGCAGACGCTCTTGTTGCCATGGGTCTGCTGGAGCAGCTAGGGAGTGCCTCGGGATGACAGACGCATCTGACCTTTCATTCCAGGGGTGGAGAATTCATCTTGGTCCAACAAGTTACAACCACAAAGTGCTTCCCAGTGGAAGGCAAAACTTGTGATTGGGCTAGAAAGAAAGATTGATAGGACTTGTTTCAGTTACCCCAAGGGGATGGGAAAGAAAATGGGTTTAGTCTACCGCAAGAGAATCTGCCCCTCCCTTCTCAGTCTAGAAGCTTCAGTGACATAGATGACAAGGGTGGAGAGCACAGGCTCTAGAATTCATCCGTGTTCAAATCCTTACTCCCCTTGTGATAAGCAGATGACCTTGTGCCAGTGACTCGCCCACCCTCTTCTACAGTTTCCTGACCCATAATGTGTGGTTTAAAATGGTAGTGTTATTGCCATAACATTGTAGTGACACTAAATGACAGAATGTAAATCCCTTAGCACAGGGGCCACTAAGCACTCAATAGCTAGTAGCCATGACTATATTTTTCAGGACTGTTTTCGCTTTGGCATGATACATCCAATTTACTCTAAGGTCCTCTTTTTTGTGTTTCTTCCCTTTCTTCCTCATTCTTAGAGGGGCAGCTTTAGTCTATTGTCTTGAGTGAGTTTTCCTTTGCTAAATTCTCTTCTCAGATGCTCCACTGTTAGACTGTCCCCTGCTATGGCTGCAGGTGACTTCCCTCGTGACTGGAAGGGAGACTCCTGCAGCTTTCCTTGAACTTAGGAGTTACCCCAAGAGCAGTGCAGAGTGTTTAGATACCTCTTTCCCCTCACCTTCTTGCCCTCCCCTATTTTTTTATTGCCAAAGGGTATGTGTGCTCACTAGAGAGAGACAGAGATGAAGAGAGAGAGAGAATGGGGCCTGGTCATGCTGCCATTTTTTCTTCTCTATTTCTTCAACCTGTTAGGGTTTGGGACACACACACACAAACCTGGCATGTTTTTTGAGCCGGAACGCGAACCACGGTCAACTAATGGGAGTCCAGCGACATAGCCATTACGCTAACTGCTGGTACCTTAACCACTGCTTCTTGAGAGAAATGTTCAGTTCCCAAATCTCCTCCCTATATGGGTTCCCCATCCCTGTGCATTCTGTTTCCCGTTGTACTCCTTACCCAGGACTTCCTCCTGTCTTGCAATAGCTTCTGACTTCCTCTGTGAAATCTTTTCTTTTTAACTGAAAGAGGCCGGCATCTCGGGAATGTTTTTTCACTCATCGCATCTTATCGCTCTTCTGTTTTTATATTTTAGATTGCTCTTGAAAACAGGAACTTCAAAGTTGGGGAGTCGGTGAATAATTTAAGCTCCTACCAGCTCTCTGGGTCTGCCGTTAATGGGGGTAATAACACTATTAATAGCCATGTCAGTGCACACACTCTGGAAAAGTCCATAACATTAGCTTAATGGCTGAAGGTAATGGAGTCCTCGCAGAGGAGCTGGCCTGGCAAATTAACTTCTAAGACTTCTAGGCAGACGCTCTTGTTGCCATGGGTCTGCTGGAGCAGCTAGGGAGTGCCTCGGGATGACAGACGCATCTGACCTTTCATTCCAGGGGTGGAGAATTCATCTTGGTCCAACAAGTTACAACCACAAAGTGCTTCCCAGTGGAAGGCAAAACTTGTGATTGGGCTAGAAAGAAAGATTGATAGGACTTGTTTCAGTTACCCCAAGGGGATGGGAAAGAAAATGGGTTTAGTCTACCGCAAGAGAATCTGCCCCTCCCTTCTCAGTCTAGAAGCTTCAGTGACATAGATGACAAGGGTGGAGAGCACAGGCTCTAGAATTCATCCGTGTTCAAATCCTTACTCCCCTTGTGATAAGCAGATGACCTTGTGCCAGTGACTCGCCCACCCTCTTCTACAGTTTCCTGACCCATAATGTGTGGTTTAAAATGGTAGTGTTATTGCCATAACATTGTAGTGACACTAAATGACAGAATGTAAATCCCTTAGCACAGGGGCCACTAAGCACTCAATAGCTAGTAGCCATGACTATATTTTTCAGGACTGTTTTCGCTTTGGCATGATACATCCAATTTACTCTAAGGTCCTCTTTTTTGTGTTTCTTCCCTTTCTTCCTCATTCTTAGAGGGGCAGCTTTAGTCTATTGTCTTTAGGGAGTTTTCCTTTGCTAAATTCTCTTCTCAGATGCTCCACTGTTAGACTGTCCCCTGTCCCCGGCTATGGCTGCAGGTGACTTCCCTCGTGACTGGAAGGGAGACTCCTGCAGCTTTCCTTGAACTTAGGAGTTACCCCAAGAGCAGTGCAGAGTGTTTAGATACCTCCTTCCCCTCACCTTCTTGCCCTCCCCTATTTTTTTATTGCCAAAGGGTATGTGTGCTCACTAGAGAGAGACAGAGATGAAGAGAGAGAGAGAATGGGGCCTGGTCATGCTGCCATTTTTTCTTCTCTATTTCTTCAACCTGTTAGGGTTTGGGACACACACACACAAACCTGGCATGTTTTTTGAGCCAGACGCGAACCACGGTCAACTAATGGGAGTCCAGCGACATAGCCATTACGCTAACTGCTGGTACCTTAACCACTGCTTCTTGAGAGAAATGTTCAGTTCCCAAATCTCCTCCCTATATGGGTTCCCCATCCCTGTGCATTCTGTTTCCCGTTGTACTCCTTACCCAGGACTTCCTCCTGTCTTGCAATAGCTTCTGACTTCCTCTGTGAAATCTTTTCTTTTTAACTGAAAGAGGCCGGCATCTCGGGAATGTTTTTTCACTCATCGCATCTTATCGCTCTTCTGTTTTTATATTTTAGAGAGATTTTGCTACAGGGTGGGTGTGTTTGCTGGAGACACAGAGAGAGACAGAGAGAGAAAGAAAGTGAGAAATCATCCCCTAGGAAGGATGGCCATGCCACAATCCCTTTTCCTCCGTTCTCCTCTTGGGATTTTTGGAATGCACACATATATACCTAGCATGAATTTTAGGCCACCAGGTCCAGGACTTGAGCCATGATTGGTCATGTGGGGGTCCAGCACCATAACCACTATGCCACCTGCTGGTCCCCTATCTTATCTCAACTTATCTCTCCTAGGGGGACCCTGCTTACCTTCAGCCCACAGCAAATCAATAGGCTAGAATTTACAAACCATGGGCACTCAGTGAAGCTCCCTGGTCACAAAGTTTATCTGACTTGGATTAAATACTATTCTGCAAAACTCAGATGCCTCCATGCAGTAGGGTCATGTGAAGGATGAATTTGGGTGAGACCCAAGGATATCTTTCACCAGTCCTCATCATTGAGACTGTACGGTCCCAGGTCACACTGGATATGGTCTGCCTGTGACACAGTGCACTTGGTACTACACAGCAGCCCTATGCCGTAGGGTATCATTGCACAGCTACTACACTCTGCTCCTTTCTTCTTCCCTCTCCTCCCTCCCATTTACCTACATTTATCTCCTGTCTGCTATGACATAAGATGTATAAGGGATTCCTAATAAGTCAGAAATAGGTTCTTCTTTTGAGCAGCTCACACTTAATAGGAGAGAGCTGCCTTTAGCCCAACAATTGCCACAAAATCTAAGACATTCTAGACTGTAGGAAACTGCAAAGTTCTATGGCTCCACGTAGGAGGAAGCTCTTCATTTTGCTTGTGGTCGGGGCAGAAGTGGTACCTGGTGCTGGATGATTGAACTGCATCTGGAAGGATAAGTAGGAAGTGGACAGGGTGGAAAATGAAAAGAGAAAAGTCTAGAGAGAACTAGCACGTATAAAGGCAAAGAAATCGGGAAAAGTTATTACATTTATTGCATATGGAAAGAATGATTCTGTTTGCCTAGGAAGGGAAGGAGAATGGAAAGGGCCAAGGGTAAGTGGAGAAGTAGACAAGACTGTGCACCTCTTTATATGAGCCTTGAGGGGATAAGGAGAGTTTAAGATGATAGTCAATTGGAATTACCATCTTTTTCAAATAGGGGCATGGCAGAGGAGGACTAGTCTTGAGGAAGGGAAGAAAAAAGTCTGTTCTGGGCTTATTGAGTTTGAGCATGTCCTGGGAGCTACTGGAAATACCTGATCTCAATGTCCTTGCTGGACAAAGTAGCTATCTCCTGAGCGACTCACTGGCATGTCCTCCCCAGGTGCACCCGGAAGGAACGGTGTGAGCGGTCCAGGGAGCCCCGCAGGTTTGCCTCAGAGATGAAGCAGTGTGTCCGGCTCACAGTCCATCCCAACAACATCTCCGTCTTTCAGTACAATGTGCCGGTAAGGGTTGTGGGGTTGGGGTCCAGGGCTACAGGGGAGAACCCCCTTCTTGCCAAAAAGCACCTGAGCTCAAGGTCCCTCAGGAGGACTGGGCTGGGTGTGGCTAGCGAAAGCAGCTCTAGAGTTGTAAAGGGATGGGCGTGACTCAGTGTCCATTGAAGTTGCAGGAAGAGGATGTTAGCGGGAGTATTAGGGAAGAGGTTCTACTTAAAATGAGAAAAACGAGGAAAATTGTCATGTGAAAAATGATCAGAAGAGTGACAAAGGGTGTTGAGAACGACTTCTTCATCTATAAAATGGAAAGGGTGTATGTGAAGAGAGAGAAAGGAATAAAGACAGCCTCCAAGTTCTAACAGAGAGCTTTGGATGGGTGGTGGTGCCATTTTTCCCAAATTGAGATCATGGAAGAACTTCTGGCTCAGCACTACTTTGGTTCTGGCCAGTGTCCTCTCACTGCACACAACCACTAACACCCCCACATCCTGGGGCCAAGTTCATTTAGCATCTGATAAGGTTTCTTTTGTCTCTGTTTCTTTACATCTGCCACCTTCTCTCCTACACTGCTCTCCTAATAACCTGCTTCTTCTTCTCTATGTGGACATGGCCTCGTTTGTCTATCTCCTTTCTTTTCCTGTGATCTTTCTGGCTCTCCCTTCCTTTATCCTATGCCTTTCCCTTCCCCCTTTCCCTCCTCCTTCTCTTTCCTGCCTGGCTGTTCCAGCTGGTCCTGGAGACCTACAATGTCCCAGAGCTGTCGGCTGGTGTCAACTGTACCTTTGAGGACCTGTCAGAGATGGATGGGCTGGTGGTGGGCAATCAGATCCAGTGCTTCTCCCCCGCAGCCACGGAGGTGCCCCGGATAATCACAGAGAATGGTGAGTGGTTCCAGGAGGCAAAGCTGCATGGCACATTCTTCCTCCTGCCTGGAAGAGAGAACTCATGACAAATTGGGGAAACTGAGTGAGGCTGTAGGCAGAGCAGGCCAGAGGAAGGGTATTGGTTGGAGGGTATGTTACAGAAAAAGGGAAGTGAAACAGCCCTTCACCACCCTTGGAATTGACAGTTAAACAGCTCTCCTATTTCAGCCTCAGATTAGCACCCGAGAGTCAATCTTATCCTAGGCGTGAGAGCTGCAGAGAGGGTGGGTAGAGGGTAAGGCTAGCAGGGTAAGGCTAGCAGCAGAGCATGCTGTTGAGCTCAGCCCACTTGGACTGGTCTGGAGGGGCAGTAGAGGGAAGCTGGCCAGGAGCAGGGGTGGGAGGATGGGGTCATCTGGCTCTGTATCCCTCTGCTCACACGGAGGGACCCTGGACCACTGCCTCTGATCCTGGACCACTGCCTCCCCAGCCTCCCCACTCCCTGTCTCCTCAGAGCTGCCTCTTGTTGGTGGCCAGCTGTACTGGGAAGCACGTGAGTGGACCAAGGCTCACCATTGGCAAGGGACAGGCTCAGCCTGAACAGATTGATGCCATGTTGTCCCTCCCATTTGGGCTTGTCACATTTGTTTGGAGCTGATTGATTAATGAGGCTCTCCAGGAAAGCAGAGAATAAGACTGGAAATGGAGGCCTGGGGTCAGGACTGTGAATTAAACATGGGCTTCAGTTCCTCTCTGGCGCCAGCTGAGATTCCAGGGTCTCTCACCCGGGAAGAGCTTTGGAATCACCAGGGGAAGGAGTGTCAGAACAGGGTCTGTCTTTATAGAGGCAGCAAATGAGCTCATGGGTGAACACGTGTTCACATACATGCAAAATGCCTCTTGTAGTTTGTGGCGGCATGACTAGGAATCCACATGTCTGTTTCTCCCTGATTGCTTATCAGTACGTATTTCTAATTCTGTGATTTTGTCAAGGACATCAATGCATGGGAGTATATGTCTGAATACTTTGCAGTGTGTGTGTGTGTGTGTGTGTGTGTGTGTGTGTGTACGTGCGCGTGTGCATACAAGGGGGAGGTGAGCAACTGAGGAATGAGTAACAGTATATGACACTGTGTGGAAGTGGGATAGACTAGGACCACCCTCTGTAGCTGCTCTTGGAGTTGTCTTTGGACTAGGCTCCACTGAGTCAGAGTCCTGTTAGGGTTGACAGCATCCCATGGGAGCAGGCTCCCTCTGTGAGGGTGTATTATGGTCAATGGGACCCTGGGCTTGGGGCCTTGGCCCTGCTACTGACCTCTTAGATGGCTCTGCCTTGCAGGGGACCACCATGTCGTACAGCTGCAGCTCAAGTCTAAGGAGACAGGCATGACCTTTGCCAGCACCAGCTTCGTCTTCTATAACTGCAGTGTCCACAATTCGTAAGTATCTCTAGCCTCATCCAGCTCCCTGTTTCTGGGCTTAAGATTCACACAGAGCTGAGAAGACCCCATGACTGTTCCCAAGGAGTCACCATGTAAAGGCTCCAAAGAGGCCTCCCTTGCCCCAGAAGGAGATAGCCTCCTCTCTTCTGGTACTCACAGTGTTAATGGAAAGAGAATAGAAGAAACAGAATGAGAAGCTATGGTTGGGGCTCCCCAAATCCCTCACCGTGCATCTTCTCTGGCCTGATTTAGTTTCCACCATCTGTTGGTGGGTGGTACATCTCACCTGAATAGCAGAGCAGCTCGCATCGTGGTCAGAGGAGGAGGCAGAGGAGGCAAAGGAGGAGAGAGGCCCCATGTGAGCTCGGAGAGGGCAGGTGGTCCCACAACTCTCCTGAATGCTTAGCATGCATGGGCTCCTGCAGACTGACACAGACTGGTGAGGCTCAGAGGTGGGCAGAAAAATATAGGATGGTCAGGAGGTCAAAAAGCCTGGCTCTGGTTCTGGCTTTGTTTGATGGAAGCATCCACCTTCCAGTGATGGGCTGGGAGGTCAGAAGAAGGCTTTGGAAACCTAATCTTTCTGTGCCTTGGTGTCCTGTATAAATGGAGAAATAGTAGTGCTCCTTCCAGGACTATCATACAAATTAGACAACTGACATAGCAGGACATGTCCCATCAGAGCAGCCATTGCCTGGGTCATTGTTGTGGCTGCTCCAGCATATCCACCCTGCCTGGCCCACAGGATGGCTGTGGGTTCAAAGAGCAAAATAAGGACAATGTTGAGAATGATCCCTGGCCCATTGCTTAGGCACTGTTCATGGTTTTATTATTATTATTATTTGTTCTATTAATGATGGAATTGGACCAGAAATGAATGTACAAGTCATTTTTCCCCAACAGAACCCTTTCCACAACTGAAATTAGGTGTGGAAATAAAACCTACAAAATAGATGAAAGTTGGGCCAGCAGTTAGCTCAATGGCTATGTTGCTGGAGTCCCATGTAGTCGACCGCGGTTCAAGTCCTGGATCCGGTTGTTTAACTCACACTGGGCATGTATGTGTGCGTGCCCAAGATCCCGAGAGGAGAAGGGAGGAGAAGGGATTGCGGCATGGCCATACCCCCTGGGGGGTGATTTCTCACTTTCTGTCTCTGTTTCTCTGTCTTTCTGGCAAGCGCACGTGCCCTATAGCAAAAACCTCTCTCTAAAAAAAAAAAGAAGAAGAAGAAAATTAGATGAAAGTAGGAACTGTTCTGGTCAAAGGCTGAGGAGGGCCAGACCCCCTCCCTTCTGGGAACTACACACAACTCTTCACATGCGAAGGAGCTCCATGGAAGGCTCAGGGCTGCATGGAACATAGTTTGAAAACCACAGGACCTGACTTCATAAAGCATTGCTTGCATTAATATGCTATTCTTTTTACCTCAGCATTCAGGATAGGTACCTGACATGACCAAAGACATTGTTGGGCTCTGGCTGGTGGAATTTTAGGGTCTATGGATCTGGTATGGCAGCTGAAAGTCTAGAGCATAACTTTCTTTGAGGCCTCAAATCGGGAGGCATCCAGCCCTCCCAGTCATAATGAGTTGCTTCAACTTTGGGATGCTCTTTCCACTTGTCATGGAAATGCCTGTGGTTTTTGGTAGCTTAATCACTCTCTTCCCTTCTGCCTCTCTAGGAAAGCAGAGTAGGTAGATGAAATAACGTGCAAAGACATCAATCCATAAAATTATTTTAAACACGTACAATGTGCAAAGCAATGTGTTACTCATTAGATACAGAGGAGTGATGATTAGTAAAACTCAAAGACTCCATCTCTGTCCGTCGGGAGTTTCTAGCCTGGTGGACTAACAGAAGAGCAGGACAGATAATAATGAGATGTAATACAGGAACGCCAGTCTTCTCCCAGAGACATCAGCAAAGGGACTCATGAGAGAAGGGCCCATGGTGACTGACTCCCCACCTTGGTCAAGGAGTAGCAAGGGGATGGGAGGGAAATGGTACACCAGATGGAGGGAAAGCAGTGGCCTTTTCCTGGTCAAAGCCCCAAGTGCACCTGGATACCATGAAAGGCTTAGCCCATATGGTAAGCCCATGAGTTTTTGGAAGAAGGGAGCTGTATTAGATATAAGCAATAAGGAGTTCTTACCAAGTGGCCTCTGTTTCTCAGGGGTACAGAGCAAAGGTAAAATTATCAATTATGGAGGGGCTGCCATAGCAGCTTCCTCCACAAAGGTAGCTCCATGAAGGTCTTTGCCAGCTGAGACCCAGAGTCAGTTTGAAGTATGACCTGATTTTTTGTTTGCTCTAGCTCTTTAGGTCTGTCTACACAAGCTCTTCTGCTCTAGGCCTTCTCACTCCACAGGATGTTCTCCTGTGGAGATGGGGAAGCTGAATCAGTCCTGGGAAAGTGCTGTCAACTTCATATGTGAAGCAAGGGGGCCAGAAACTATTGGCTTCCTAAGGAATTGGAAAGAAAGGGGATAAAATTTTTTATGACTTGCTCTTCCTGAACCTTTGAGGGTGGTTTGTCTTAATACTAAAAATGTCTTGCTAGACCCTAGAGATTTTGGCCCTCTTCTTTGGCTTCACCCTGTGGCTATGATTTGTGCCTTTTCCTTCTTTGCACCTAGGTGCCTATCCTGTGTGGAGAGCCCATACCGCTGCCACTGGTGTAAATACCGACATGTCTGCACCGATGACCCCAATACTTGCTCCTTCCAGGAAGGCCGAGTGAAGTTGCCTGAGGTAGGTCCTGGCAGTGAGAGGAGTGTGCGCTACTTACTGTAAGATGGGACCCACAGGTGGGAGGGAGAGGAGAAACCAAAGAAAAATCCCACAGGACCATGGTCTCCCTCCCCAGCCCTGGTTCTTCAGAGACTACTTACTGAAATCATAAAAGTGCAAACCTTCACTGGGGTCAGAGTTCAGGGTCAGCCCTGGCAGTTTAGTTACACCCAATGGTGCATTTTGGGTAGTCTAGATAGGAGGACTCTCCATGTGCCAGGGAAATTCTAGAGCAATTCCAGAGAAAATAGGTATGTTTGCAGTATGTGTCCTAGAAATAGTTGTGAGTACATAGCAGGATTATGTGCAGGCTCTTCAGCTGTCCATCAGAGCACTGTGCACAGAGTAAAGCTGAGACCAGGACCAGCAGATGGCATAATGGTTATTTTGCTGGATTTCCATGTAGCAGACCACGGTTTGAGTCCCTGACCCATGGCTTAAACCTCATGCTGGGCACATGTGTGTGTGTGCCCAAGATCCCAAGATGAGAATGGAGGAGACAGGATTGCAATGTGGCCATCTCCCCTGGAGGGTGATTTTTCTCTTTCTGTCTCTCTGATGAGTGCACATGTCCTATCGCAAAAATCTCTCTTTAAAAAAATCCCTCTTAAAAAGAGAGAGAGAGAGAAAAGCCAAGACTAAGGAGAACATGCTGAGTAAAAGGAAGAGAGGAATAGGATGAAAGAACAGTCAGTTTGTGAGCCAGAAAACTTGATCTCAAGGTGTGGTTTCCTGACCAGCAACATCCATGTTACCTGAGAATTCATGAGAAATGTAGTCTTCTGCTCCACCAGGGACCGGCCAAAGGAGATGTTCTAGGGGTGGGTGCAGTAACCTGGGCTTCATGAGCTCTCCAAGGGCTTCTGATGGTCCACCCAGTTTGAAGGCTCACTGAGTGTCATCTTTTCAGGGCCAGCAAGTGGTGTAGTGGTTAAGGCTCTGGATTCCCATATAGTCGGCCGCAGCTTGAGTCCCAGACCCAGCAGCTTGAAATTCACACCAGGCATGTGTGTATGTGCCCAAAATCCTGAGAGAGGAATGGAGGAGAGGAGTTTGCAGCATGGCCATCCCCTCTAGGGAGTGATTTCTCACTTTCTCACTCTCCATCTCTCTAGTGAGCACACACACTCTACAGCAAAAATCTAAAAAAAAAAAAAAAAAAAGTTATCTTCCCATTCCCTCCTAATTTTTATTCTTTTCCTTGAAAACCCTTCCTCATAGTAAAAATGTTTCCTTGCTACGGTGTTACCTTTCTTAGAATGCAAGTTTGCAGGTAAAGACCTCAAAGACAGTGGCCATAAAAGCAATTTGGAAAAGCTTGTTGTTCAAACGCTACGGTGTTTCTTGCACTCTCAGACAGCACTGGACTCAGGATCTGACACCTTCACCCCTTCCCTACTATGGGATGTACCTTCCAGTTCCCTTCACACACCCACCCAGGTGGCATGGCCGTGTGGCAAGCCTCACAGCTGTCAGAACACGGAACTGTCCTGATGTGGGAAGCATGGGGCCTGCTGGGGGGACATGTAAGACATGGAGAGGACAGAAAGGCCCATCACACGGGAGCTGGGGATGGTACAGTGGTATAAAAGGGAACTCTGCGAAGTTGAGCCACATGGGAAGGGTCTAGGTTCACACTCAGAGACCTCCCTGAGTATGCCAGATGTGTGTGCCCGTGATCCAGGGGTGGCTGAGGTTGAGGGCAGGTCATGGCCTGAGACCCTTTTGGAAATTCTAGCTTGCTCTCTCACTCATGTAATAAATAAATATAGATAGATAGATAGATAGAGAGATAGATAGATAGATAGATAGATAGATATAGACAGACAGACAGATATTTTTAAAAGGCTGGCCTGTCACAGTGCCCTCCCCCCCTCCCCCCAGACTTGTGCTTCACCAGGACTCCTAACTTTTGCTAAACCCTTTATGGCAGGAGGGAAGCTGTCTTCCTTCCGAGACTGACAGGGAGGATTGATTACATCCCACCCCACACCATCTGCACTGGGCTCCCCTGGTACAGAGGGAACAAGGCTGAACTTCGCTTAGCTCTCAGAAAAGTTGAGCCCTGATCCCACTTGACCAGGTACCGATGGCTGGCATAAGCTCTGTAAGTGCAGAATGGACAATCCGACCTAAAGGTAGAGGCAAGGAGTGGCAAGGCTGTCGGGAGGGAGAAGGATCCCAATGAGAGAGGAGCTCTCAAGAAAGAGCAGAAATGTGAAATCCTTAGTCAATGATCAAATTTAAATTAAAAAACATGAATTAAAAAAATAAAGCCTGGGGCTGGCAGGTGGCATAGTGGTTAAGGCACTGGACTCCCACGTGGTCAACAGTTTGAGTCCCAGTCCCAGAGACTTGAAACTCATGCAGGACGTATGTGCATGTGTGCCAAAAATCCCAAGAGGAGCGTGGCCATCCCCTCTGGGAAGTGACTTCTCACTTTCTCTCTCTGTGTCTCTTTCTGTCTCTCCAGTGAGTGCGTACACCCTATAGCCAAAATCTCTCTCTAAACAAAAAGCCTTAGTCAAGATAATTAAGTGGTTTGGGGCCTTTGAAATTCCCTAGATAACTCAGCTGTTTTAGCTTCCATTTTGTTCTTGGGCCTCTCCACACATAAAACCTCTGCCAGATACACCAGTCTGGAAAGCTGGAGAGAGTCTGGGAACCTCTTCATCTTGACTCTCATCAAGGTCCTTGCAGGTTTCAGAGCAAAACAAGGAGGGACTAGAAACCTCAGATGCAGGGTCTTCTCCCCCTACAACAGGGTCTGTCTGTGATTAAAACTGACTATGCTAGGCATGTGCTGGATTTCCACATGGCTGACCACAGTTTGAGGCTCAAACTCAGCAGTTTGAAAATCATGCCAGGTGCATGTGTGCCCAAAATCCCAAAAGCAGAATAGAGAAGAGATTGCAGCATGGCCACCCCCCTCCAGGGGTGATCTCTCTCTCTCTCTCACTCTCTCTCTCTCTCCAGCAAGTGCATGCAGCCTATAGAAAAACCTTTAAAAAAAAAAAAAAAAGGCTACTCTGGATTATATGAAAGTTGAAAGTTGAATTGATCATGCAAAGTCAAGTCCTTCCTGTCATACCCAACTAAAATAGAGTCAAGAAGCCAGAGGAGAAAAGCACTCAGGTCACAAATGTTACCGAACTCAAATCAAGTTCTCTCTCCCACGCGCTGTAAAACCAAACCATAGGCCTGTGGTGTGATGAAGGAAATTACACCTTTATTGCAAAGTGCAAAGCAAGGAGAGTGAGAAGCTCATGCTGGAAAGACCCGGTCTCCTGAGGTGTTCTACACATTTATTTTTAAGGGCAAAATTAGGGGCAGAGGTCCCAGATGCATGATCAGTTCAGTGATTGGTTCAAAAAGACATGATTATCTCGTGGGCATTCTTGATTGGTGAGGTCTTAGATAATCAAATTTCGGGTCAGGTTTCTGGAACCATTCGGCCTGCTCACAGCTAGCAGTTCCCATCCTACATGAAAACCTTATCTTTCCTTTCAGTGAGAGTTTTAGAAGTCAAATAGCCCTTATTCATGGTCAATGTTGTTTTATTATCATAACCAAAGTCTGAAGTCTTACCCTTTGCTCTAGGCCATTACAATGTAAATAGATCTTATATTTCAAGAACCTTAGAAAATACATTAGCGGCCCCCCCCCACTCGGTTTCACAAGCACTGCTCTGTGAATTGTGTCACCAGTCCAGTTGCCCAAATGCCCTGTTGTGTCTCTAAGACTGCTGTCACTTCACTAGTGCTGATGACCCTGTTTTTAAAACAAGTTACGTGACCATTCTCTTTCCCAACGAAACTCCAACATTTCCTTTGTTCGGAGGCCACCTTGATTTGTGTGTGTCCTGGATTGCAATTCTGCTCTGTTGTCTATTCTCGAATAAACACTTTTTGTTTGGAGATTCATCTCTGTATTTTGTTTGATTGTTGAAGAGGAATAACCAGGAAAAGAGATGCAGACCTAGATTTTCCCTTTATAAGATAAGAGAAGGGAGGAAAGTTACATCTTGGCATGCCGGAGGAGCGTGACTCTTATGTTTATGTGTCATTCTCTACTTTTCTTTAATGAAGACAAAATGGATGGATCTAAAGGTAACAGGAGCCACGTGAGTTTGACAGCCAACGGAACCACTGTTTTCGTGAAAACACTGATAAAAGGCTGTACAATCTCGTCATCTTGGGGCACAGGGACAGGAGCAGAAGGACTCATTGACCCGTCCTGGTCAGGGCCATGGCACATCCTCTTCTTGTTTGGGTCTGAAACCTGCAAGGAACTTGACGGCAGTCCAAAAAGATTTCAGCCTTTCTCCAGATTTCCAGACTATATATCTGGCAGAATTTTATGTGTGAAGAGGCCTGAGGATAAAATAAAAGCAAAAACAATTGAGCTATCTGGAGGATTTCAAAGGCCTCTAATCATTTAATTACCTTAAAGGAGGTTTTCAAATTTTTGCTCTTTCTTTCTTGTTTGCTCCTCTTGTTCCAAGTTTCTTTCTTTTATCTGTATAAAAGGAGCTTGCATCTGCTGCTCAGAATAAAATGAAAAAAAAGAACTAGAGGGAATAAAGTAAGAGGCCACCATGGTTCCCAGGGCAATGCAGAGACCTCTGCAGAAGAACAATGCCTTCAAAGGCCCAGACTGCAAGTGAGGCACAGCACCCAGTGATGCCTGGCACTGATGAAGGCTGCTGGGGACTCACCGCCTCTGAGAGGATTTGCTGCCAAGGCCCTCTGGAAAGGAATATGGCTAACTGAGGGATGTAGAGAGGGACTCACTACTGCAGCTGCCCTTCAATTCTTTCCATGTCACATGAACTGCGTTGCAGTGAGATTGGCAGTGAGAGACTCCAGGGTAACTTGGAGTCACCTAGACTCCTCCCTCATCACATTGCCACTGTGACTCCTCTTTTTGTTTGTTCATTTTTGCCAGAGGACACATGTGCT